GGGCGGTTGCTGCAAGTTTCCAGTGTCACATTGGACTCGATTTGGCGGTCTATTGGTTTATGAAGGGGTTCAGAGTGCTTTTGCAACTTGTCTAAGCTACTCGAAGGATCAGGCATTTGACTGGGGCGGGAGGTTTTCTCTGCATCAGACGACCCGGTTGTCTGGGTTGAGTTCTTCCTCTGTCCGGCTGCATGAGAAGATAAATTTTCATTGTCCGTCAGATAATTACCGCCTACACTGCGTCCTGTAGGTGGGGAGGGGTCTCTATTGAGATCCACATGGATGGGGATGATACGTTGCATAACGCTGCTTTCGCGGCGTCGTTTGGTTTGTCTCGCTGGACCAGGTAACGCGTCTGGGGTGTTCGAGTCCTTGTTCGGGAGAGACACGAATGCCCCTTTACCTGAGTCATCTTCGGCAGTTGTCGAAGACTGGAGAAAAGGGCTCTGTGTTGTTTGGAGACTTTGTGATCGATCTGGCGTACACTCCGAGCGATCTCGCAGCTTCATCCGTTTAGCGGCTTCAGATTCATGATCTCCTGGATCCTCATCAAGGACGGACCGAGCAGTTTCTGCTAGTAGCTGCAACTCTCTGTATGACGCAGCATCCTCGAATGATCGATCAGAAAGGACCTTCAAGATCCTAGGGAAACGCAGTGTATAGTATCTGGCGCCAGACGGCTTTTCAAAGCCACTGCCTAGCATCTCAACGACAAAGGGTGTCTTAAAGACGACGTCCATAGGGTTGACTACACTCTCCCCATATTCAAGGATGAATCCATGTTCGGAGTCTGGACTGCGGGCGCAGAACCCGCCGAACTGATTCAAGAACTGCATGAACCTTACATGCATGCAGTGGTGGTTGATAACATCGAGGACACGAAATTTGGGTATAGCCCCAGATTGCACAACCATCTCTTTATTGACGAGGCACCCAATGAAGAATTCGGTCCATGAGAGCTTTTTGACTTGCTTGATTGCCATAGCATCCCGAGAGTTGTACCTCGCGCCAATAATTGCGAGATCGACGGTGTCACCTAGTCCAGGTATATAATCTTTCTTCAGCTTGATCCAGCGACCGAAGGAAGGATTGTCCTTGTCATCAGAAAAGATTGTAAAGTAAGGGTCTTCACTTGCTTTGAGGACCAACCCTTCCCATCGCTCAGTGATGCCTTTGTTGAAGATACTTTCTAGTCGGGATTGACCGCCATGATGGGAAAAGTCAACAACCCACTGCTCAGATATATCCGCACGCCCTGGGATTGGCTCTATAGTGTTTTTCAGAAGCAATCTCCGCTCACGGTGTGGAAGCCTCAGACAAACATTGTCATCCATAAGCAGGATGTCAAAAAATACTATCATCAGATGCTCATAAGGTTGTGGACTATTGTATTCAGGTCAGAAGACAACGCTGGAAATTACATGCCATGTCACTTACGGAGAGTCACTTTGAGTTCCAATGAAAGTGCCTGAGCGCGATATGAATTTACGCAACTTATGAAAATCAGCGATGTCGCCATGTTTGTCACTCCAAACAAGCAGTTCGCCCTCCAGGATGCATCGTTGGGAAATCTTGCAACCCGGTCGTCTTAGCTTCAGTGATTCGCTAATGACTTGATGGATACCGGCGCGGTCTCCTGTTGAATCTTTACCGCTTTTAGAAAATATTTGGATCCAGTTCGAGTCCTTGGACAGATCGATATGTATCTGGCAATATTCACCATCATACTTCCTTTCGATACTCATGCGACGGTTGCCGATCATGCGACAGCAATGTTTGATGCTCCTAGCCTTATAGTACTCGGGTCGCCCTATCTTGACTCCCACAGCAGGACTGAGATGCCCTAACGCTATAAAACCCAGGTCTTTGGCCAATGCAGCATCTGGTTGCGGTGGAAAGTGTTTAATGGGACTAAAGCTTAGCACGCTTAAAGCGCGTTCGAAAGAGTCCTGAAAGAGAAGTAGATGCGGAAGGAGGAAATGGAAACGTTTCAGGATGATATTTACCGGCAGAGAAACAGGAGAATAGCTTTTCAGTATCATTCGAGTAAGCCATTTCGCATCTCTGCTACTTAGCCGTCGGTATAGAGGGGACAACGTCTGATCGACCTTAACAGCCGTACGCTGTCTTCGCACCCGAGGACCAGAAAACTTGCAACGAGAGGCGATCTCAGCTAAAGCTTTGTCTATCTCTTCCACAGTGACATCTTGGCCGTTGCTGACATGGTTTTCAGCCTGCCGCATGACATTCTCCACACATTGTCCCAGATCTACGCCCCCGGAGACACGCCAACGCTCAAGCTCCTGCCGGCGTGAACAGCCCAGAAGCAGGCACCGTGCTATGATTTTGGCCAGCGATGTATCCTGTAGCCAGTAGACACGGTCTGTCCGTTTCTCTGGGAACATGCAGGAAAGGAGAGCCAACTGGTCGGTATCTTTATCGCGGATCCTCTTTTCATTCTGGGCGAACCATCGTGATACGGCACGGATGTCGGGGTTCACAACTTTGGCTTCATGGGCAGCTTTCAGGACCCTGTTATCTTCAAGCGTTGATAGTAAGTCGCACAGGTGAGCAAATTTGAACCCCATATGATAGTAGTAGCCGCGACGGGCGCGATTCTGGTGTCAGTAACAAATGGCAGGCATCAAAAACAGCCGAGTAGCCACCCGAACCATGACAACTAGGCGAAGCACAGCCTATTCCATGAGGCTACTGAAATTCAAGAATGCACAGTCCAGAGATAACCACAGACTGGGGGAAGACGCGGGGCACAAAATTGAACTGAGAGCTACGCGAACGGGACGCGAAACCACGTGATACGAGCCAAAGTTGGGATCATATTGAAATTTTGGCTCCTAATTTCTCCGATGATGATATCGTAATATTCTTGGGGTGTAGAATACATAAAAGCAAAGCTGTCTAGTCTTGACTTTGCTTTGATACAGCCATTCCCAACCAACACTATCCCAGACCACGCAGCATTAAAGGAATTTCGAGAAAGGACACCCACCAAACTCCAGGCTTTTCAATATGAAATATGGCGAAAGGCAATGCAAAAAAAAACATGAAAAAAAGGTTGACCCGGGGTCGCCGATTATAGGATACCTTGCTTTTGCAGACTGGTAATAATTAGTAAAAGTTCCAATATGTCGCTGGATTGTTGGGGGCACGTACTCAAGGTAGATCCTCTCCGGCATCACATTGCCTTCAGCATCCTCCATCTGTACCACATTGTCGCGGTTATCTCTGTCCTTCTTGCGGTCCTGCTCTAGCTTCTCCCAAAGCCTGATTGCATCCTCAATCCGAGTGATCTCACGGAAAAGGTTGGTATTGGAAGTGATACCAAGACACTTCAAACCAAAGATATGTAGAGCCTCCGAGAAGTGCTTGTCAAACGCACGACGACCCATATAAACAAAGTTACCGCAGATCTCGCAAGGATACTCCACCCCAAGGCCGTGCAGCTTGTAAAGCCAGTAAGGGATTGGCTTACCATCCCAAGCAAGTGGCAGCTTGAGGGGATTGTAGATTCGGTCTTCGTCGTCCTCGTCAGATTGATCGCCAGCACGATCACCGCCAGGGTTTTCGGACTCATTAAGCAGAGCTTCAAGTTCCATCTGGCGCTCCCGTTCAGTCATACCCTGTCTCCGCTCGACATTGAACCTCGTTGCTTGACGCTCGGGCTGCAGTACCTGCGTCAAAGAACGCACCCGATGTTCTCTCTCTGCGACTGCACGTTCCTTGAGTCGATGAGCCACGGATGATGTGCCGTTTGTCGCAGGGGCTGCTGGCTTTGCGTCATCCCCGGCGGCTTTGCGTGCTTCAGCGGCCCGGATATGCTTCTTTCCAGTCAGGTGGTTCTTGTAGACATTCTCATTCTTGAACTCCCTCTCGCAGTCAGCACACCAGATGCCTTCTCCGGAGCCCTCGGTCTTCGGACCCTGGGTACCGTTCTGAGCAGCCTCCTCTGTCCAACCAGGGACCTCGTTCGCCGCCCATTGCCTTTCGAACTCCTCATCAAAGCTAGCAAAAAGTTTGTCCAGATCTTGCAACGGCTTCACCTTCTTAATGAAGCTTTCCAAGTAGTTTGCGAGTTCGCCGACATATTTGAAATACCGATCGGAAAGCTTATTGTTTCGCTTGATCGGAAGTTGTGGAGGAGTAAACGCATCGAAGATGTCGAGATACTGTACATATGAGAGCCGTTTTACCCCAGGCAAGTTCAGGTAGTCTTCGTGCAATGTCGTGAGGTCCAGAAATTGCCCATAACCCTCTTCACCAGTGAACAGATTGTCGATCTCCATTCCCGTTACTTCACCCTCTCCAGGCTGACGGCGCTTATAAGCCCGCTCAAGGTTTTCGACTGGTTCATTAGGATAGCGCCTGTGGAAGTCCTTAATCTCATCCAGTTGCTTGTAGAATTCCTCGAATTGATCGCCGGTTGAGATGGTTTGGATTTCCTTCTCACGCGCGCCGTCCGCATCCTTGTAGATGTCGAGCAACCTCTTGGATTGGTCTTCGATACGCTTCAAAAAATGTGCGACTTCATGATCACGAGCCAGGCGATCGCGTATCTGAAAGTAAAAGAGTAAGTCAGCAGAGAGCGACGAGATAGAAACTGATGGGTTACTTACATTACGAGGCTCTTCGGCGACGCGGTCGGCAATCGCCTGCTCCAGGCGCTCAAGGTCCTCGTGAATAAACCTTTGCTCCTCGAAAATCATTGTTGCTGTGCGCACAAGGCTCTACCTGTCTTCTGCAGATTAAAGCGCTTTCGAAGATCGGGGATGGAAGCGGGCATCTCAACGCCATCCAAGAGAGCTTTGCGGCGAGCTATCGTCACGTGCGGCGGGCGGTGAGACCTCGGTCGCAACGAAAAGTCGCGCCGCAGATGCTGGGCGATTCTTCTGCTACTCCACCAGGCCAGCTCCCCTCCTCCACTAACTTGATTCTGTTTTCCTTCATCCTTTCACTTTAAATTACAGACCGGTGTATTCAACATGGCGGACGGAATTGACAGGCGCGCTGATGGTAGGACCTCAAAGTTCTCAACTGTCATTCACGCCCGTATACTGACTGCGCAAAACTAGACCGCATGGAGTTCAACACCTCGAAGGAGGTCACTGTTGCTCCTACCTTCGAGGACATGCACCTGAAGGAGAGCCTTCTCCGTGGTATCTATGCTTATGGTTATGAGTCTCCGTCTGCTGTCCAGTCCCGTGCCATTGTTCAGATCTGCAAAGGTCGTGATACCATTGCCCAGGCACAATCCGGTACTGGTAAGACCGCTACGTTCTCGATCAGTATCCTCCAAGTCATCGATACCGTCGTCCGCGAATCTCAGGGTATGTTATATGCGCTCAATTGCAAGTGGTGGTTGTAGTCTCACATATCATAGCCCTCGTCCTTTCCCCCACTCGTGAACTTGCCACCCAGATTCAGTCCGTCATTATGGCCCTCGGTGATTACATGAACGTCCAATGCCACGCTTGCATCGGAGGCACGAATATTGGAGAGGATATTAGGAAGCTTGACTACGGTCAGCATGTCGTTTCGGGCACCCCGGGCAGAGTCGCCGATATGATTCGCAGACGCCATCTGCGCACCCGTCACATCAAGATGCTGGTTCTCGATGAAGCCGACGAACTCCTCAACCGTGGATTCCGTGAACAGATTTACGATGTCTACCGCTACCTTCCTCCTGCCACCCAAGTCGTTGTCGTTTCCGCTACCCTCCCCTATGACGTGCTCGATATGACCACCAAGTTCATGACCGACCCCGTGCGTGTCCTGGTCAAGCGTGACGAATTGACCCTCGAAGGCATCAAGCAGTACTTCATTGCAGTGGAGAAGGAAGAGTGGAAGTTCGATACCCTTTGCGACCTTTACGATACCTTGACGATCACCCAGGCGGTCATCTTCTGCAATACCCGTCGCAAGGTCGACTGGCTCACCGACAAGATGCGCGAAGCCAACTTTACTGTGTCCAGCATGCACGGTGAAATGCCCCAGAAGGAGCGTGACAGCATTATGCAGGATTTCCGCCAGGGTAACTCCCGTGTGCTTATCTCCACCGATGTCTGGGCTCGTGGTATCGACGTGCAGCAGGTGTCCCTGGTCATTAACTACGATCTGCCCACCAACCGTGAAAACTACATCCACCGTATCGGTCGTAGTGGTCGTTTCGGACGTAAGGGTGTTGCCATCAACTTCGTCACCAGCGATGATGTGCGCATCCTCCGCGACATTGAACTTTACTACTCCACCCAGATTGACGAGATGCCCATGAATGGTATGTCGAAACCATCTACATCACAAAGCTCAGATATAGCTAACCTAATTTCTTAGTTGCCGATCTTCTGTCATAAGCTATAATTATGCCTAGCGTATCGACCAATTTATCCTTAACTATGGTCACTTACGAGTCATCACCTGGCATCAAGCTCGCGCGTCCTAAGAGTACCTATGCTTCGCTCCCTCCCTAGACAAATGAACAAGGTGGACAAAAGGCCCAAAACAACACTTCGGTGTACCCTGAAGGGGCGGAGAATTGCGTGGAGGAAATGGGAAAAATATCAAATTGGTTAGTCCCTGTCACATCTCAAATGGTCGATGTTACCCGAGTCTGACACTTAACCAGTGCTGTTCGAGTAGATGATTGTCTACGATGCCAATGTCACTCAATCAAGCGGCGTGGATCCAGTCTGCCTGGCCACGTTCTACCCTTCTACTTTATCTATTTCCTTTTGAATATTCCTTCTGGCGTTTGAATTGTTCCGGGGTTTACATGCTATGTTTGGAGTTAACTCTTATTATTATGCTATGATCGAGTGGAAATACCAACGTTCAAGAGTCTTGTGTGGTCTGTTTATACTAGTCTGACTGGCCATATTAACATCCCTCAAAAGTACATTTATCCATATCCATTTTATCCCATCCCGCTCTCTCTTGCAAGTATCCAGTACCAGTAGTACTTGCCCGATCTGGTCTACATTCACCACATGAGTAAATCAATCAATCAGTCGATAGTCACCCAAGCAGATTATTGATTATCAGATGCATGCTCTCTACTACCACTACCAGCCAACTTTCCAACCTCAGAAGATACAGAGAAAGGAGAGAGAGAGAGAGAGAGAAAGCGAAGTAGCGATAGCGAGAAGCAAACATGAACTCGATGACCTCTTGAGCACAAAAGCAGAGAGGACTCCGATACGCAACGCAGAAAAATAGAAAAACAAACAGGAACATGACCCAAAGCACACTCCTAACTAGTCCCTGAAAACCTTGCATGATTCACGACCCAAAGGGTGGACAGTAACGACAATGACAAACAGACCATTAACCGTAAACGTTGAAGTCTTTATAATATGTAAGAATACGGGGTGGGATGGAATATGATATAATGGATAGGGACGCCATGCCTTGGTGCAGTGGGCTTATTAAGGCACTGATGGCAGGCGCGCCGGGGATGGTAATGATGAATGTGCGGAAGGAAAAGAAAGAGAAAAATGAAATTGATGCAAAGCATATATTGATCTGTACCAAAAGCAGCGGCGCCTGCAACCTGTATTAAATGGATCACTGACGATGAGCCAGCATAAATGCGTATATGCAGGGTGGAGTGAATAAACGGGAGCAGTTGGGTTCGGAGTAGAGATGAGGGAGAAAGCGGACGGAGTGAATGCGAGAGATGTTTAAGCTGGAGCTGCTTCCAAGTATGTATAAACTATATGGGATTGCCTGCTACTCCTGAAACGGGAGCACTAATTGAAGCTTGATGTTGAACGCAGAGCGCTAGTGCGAGTGAAACCACTTGTCGATACTGCCCTGTGCTTGCCCGCTGAAACATTCGGTCGTATGTCACGTTCACGTGTCCAACTAAAGAACTGTCAGTCAAAAGACTATCTGGGTGGAGGGAGGAATTGACGGGGTCGGTGCTCACATTCTAACCAAGCAGTCGTCGCCAGCAGAAGCAAACATTCCTGGGTCTCGAGGATTCCAGGACATGGAATTTACACATCCTCGTACGTGCCCCTCTAATGCCTCTACAAGTGTGCCAGCTTCTTTGTGGAAGATATAAACACGAGAATCTAGGGACACATTAGCCAAAGAAGGTGAGAATGTGTGTTTGAATGATGCTCACCTTCACTTCCACTGACAATAAAGTTTTCCGCCGCACCACCAAAGACACTGCGAATGACGAAATGCCCTTGTTTCTGCCCTGAAAATCGACGCACAACGTCTGTGGTGTTGATGTCAACCAGCTGTATTTGTCCGTCGGCGGAGTTGATCAACATGTGACGGGAGTCCCTGCTAACAGCGACGGAGGTTGGCTTGCTTTTCAGGGCTAGACAGTATTCTTCATCGCGGGTCGCAAGGTTGTAGACGTGGACCTTCTGATCGAGGTCTGCCGCGATAAGTCTCCGGCCATCGGGCGTGATAGCACAGTCTTGGACGCGGAAGCCTTCCGGCCACATGTATAGGGTCTGTCCACGCATGCCCCAATGACAGAGCTGCGAGCTCACGTCCAGAGCCGCCGTTACGAAAGACTCGCCATCAGGAGCCCACGCCGCAGCTGTCACGGGATGACGGTGGTGATTGATGGTCAGAAGGCAACGACCAGTCTTTGCCAACTGTCAGCACAAACACCGTCCTCCAACACGAAAAGGGGTCACTGTACCTCAACGCTCCACACGCGGGCGGTCTTGTCCTGAGAACAGGTAATGATCTTCGAGTCATCCGGGCTCCATGCACACTGTGCAACACCATCCTCATGACCCAAGAGCTTCTGTATCACAGAGAAGGTGCTGGTTTCGTAAATGATTACAGTCTGATCTTTGCTGGCAGTGACCAGCTTAGTCCCGTCGTTCGAGAACTGGCACCACCATACCTCGTCGGAATGCTGGTTCAACTCAATCCCGGTCTGCAAAGGAAAGTCTTTGCGATCACACATATGATCTGAATATAATGAGGGAGGTGATGCGGAATTATGGTATAAGCACTGGTTGATCTGTGTTTGTTTGACGTGATCCAGCAGAATAGCAAGACGATTGTCCGGAATCATTACTGAGGGGGATATTGATCCTGGTAGGTTGTTAGCGGTATGCACCGTTACAGCTCCGAACGTTGATTTTGGGGACTCACGAGACAATTCCGATAACAAGCGTTCTCGAGAAGAGCTTATGGGACCGTCCCAGCCGGCCTGGTCGTGAAGATGTTCCGGGGGGCACATGAGTAGACTAGCATGGAAGTCAGTTTCACTCACGGTTGTGCCGCGAGAGCTTGTCAGCATGGTGTGCTCACCTGGACAGGGCGTGTAACCGTCCTATGTCATAGTTCAGCGGTGTCAGTTCATGTCTCAGAACAATTAGGGCCGCCGCCAAATCGCGGGCTTCCAACAATTCGAGGAATTTTTGCTGTCGCAGGTAAAATAGCATTTCGTTCTTTTGAGCATCTTCCACCAATACCAGCTTCTCCCTATGCGTCGCTTGCTCGCCGGTATTACTCCTCCAACCACCTCGATCCGGATAGAATGACTGCACTAGTATATGTTCCGCCTCGGTCCATCGGCCCTCTAACACCGCATTTCTAAACGTAGCAACTGCTGGGCTCTCCAGTTGATACCCACTCTCCTTGCTTAGAAGCGTCGCGGCCCCATCATAGCCAAGGTCAAACAGGGCTTGAATCAAGATCCTTGTAACTTCTTCTCGGTCATGACCATAGTATGACGGAGGGCCGACTGACGCTTTTTGAGAGCCATTCGTGCGTACGTCTCCGTTGGAGGCTGTGAAACTCGTTTGGCCGTTCAGAGAGTGGGCGAAAGCTGTCTTCTGGGACGGGGATGCAGTTGAGCCATTCAACGTATGGGAGGAGCCGTTTGTACTGGAAATGCCATCCGGGCGCATATTTGCCAGGCGCCTGCGCTTGGGGTACGGTTCGGGGCCCTCTGATGGGGCGCGTGACTGAATACTGCTGGATGTTCGAGACCTGGCCTCGCTTGCCGTGCGATCCTCCGCGAAACCTCCTGTTCCCTCAAAAGTGTGTTCGGGCGTATCCGGTGTGCTGCTACGGCGCCGTCGACGAGCAGAGGATGAATGCGGGTTTCCGAGAGCGCTCACTGTACCGTAGTTGTAGTTGGCTGTCGGTCTTTGGAGGAGAAACGGGGAAGGGCCGCCCGGAGCGGAAGTGAGGGGATGGGACGCTGAAGATTGGCGGGGGATAGGAGGGTCAGGGTGGTCGGGAGCGGCGGAGGAGGGTATATAGAAGGGATGATTGTCTGCCAGTTCGAAAACGTTCAGATCTGCCCTTCCGCCTGGCTCTGTAGGAGAACCAGGAGAGCAGACCTATATCAGCGGCGGGTCACTGATACTCGCCGAGGCTCGTTTCACTGGGTGGGAGCTCGCTGAGCAACTGGGTGGTCGATCAATGTGCTGAGCTTGGGTGAAATAATTATCGGTGAGGTTCTGGGGTATCAGGTTCTGGTCAGCTCCTGCAGTGTAGGATGGATGGACTGGGTAGTTCGTGCAGTCGTCGGGCGGAGGTCTTATCGGACTAGGATCAGATCCGGGGAAAGACGACCGATTGTCGGGGATAAAGGACAAGGAGTAGGGGAGGCGGTACAGACTGTGTTCAGGGAGCAGATAGGGATGAGCGAAGTAAAATCAAAGGAAACTTGGAGTAACAGAGTCAAGCGAGAGCGTATGGCCGGTAATCAAGCGTGGGGGGCAGAGTAGGTGGTAGATAGCAGGAAGCTGGAAGAACGGAAGTTCAGTTGAGGTCGAAGCAACATCGGCGGCTGGTCTTACTCTTTCCTGTGGCCGTGGGGCCAAGCAAGCAGTCCCGACAATCCAATCCTCTCCCCCATCGATTAATCCTACCGCGCGGTTTCGCCCTTCCAACCACGCCCTGCCCGAGCCCTACTGTGTCGATCGATAATTCTACTTTTGTCCTTTGGATCCTTGTCTATATAGCGCCATAGTCTGCAGTACAAATTTGGGATAATTTCAGACTCTACGGTGTATAGTAGGTGTTTACATTGATGAGTCGAGACAATTAGTTATCGATCCTGACAATTAATGATGACGATGATACAATACCGTATGACGATACTGACCAAAGGTTATCAGAAAAAGAAGAAAACAGTGGCTTTCCTGCACTCATCCTCTTTGGGTTCTTTTCCAGCTGTGATTGTCTCTCTTTCTGTCTGTTCCTTTTTCTTGCTTCTTAAGTTTTTTCTAATATATTTCTTTTTTCTTGTCTCTTCCCGCGGTGATCTTCCCTCCCCTGGACACTCTAAGCCTTCAAGTGCACATCGTAGAACAGATGGGGTTCCCCAACCCGGTTGATCTTGAATTCACGCACATCACCTGAGTTCTTCTCCGATCGGTTCCAGAGCAGCTGACAAGGGCGATTCCGATAATGACACCATCCCCGATTATCAGGACTGAACAGTGGTTATCCAAGGGGCATGGCCCAACGGTTGGCGGAATTGGATCCCAGATCATCACTGCCACCTAATCTGGTCTATATCACCTGCACATTTCACTCGGAACACATCAAATGAGCTGTTCCCATGTCAGTGTCAGGGGCGCTCCAAAGCTTAGGGACCTCATAATATCCTCCCCTTAAGACACCCTTATCTCCTCTCATACTCTAACCATCTACCCATGGAGGCACGGACTTCGCAACTACTACAGCACGGTATGCCATGCAGCCCAATAACGCCACAGCCTACTAAGACAAGTACCCAACCCCAACTAAGTAAGCAACCCACTGTGGAGGCATGCCATTTGGTACCACTGGAAAAGACCCAAGTGGGTATGTCGATTAGGCGCTGTTGTTGAGTGTGGAGGCCCCAGACCTCATTAGACTCCATCGGATGCGATTCCCTTGCGCATCACCAAGTTCCAGATAAATGCCTCTAGGACCGTGCGACATCTTCCAGACGCGACTTTAACTCTGAATTTTCTGAACTCACAGCTAAAGCCTGCAGTTTTCCGGGATAGGAAGCTTAGGGTAGGGAGGTCTGGCAGCCAAATAAATGGTTTGTTCAAGTGTGGGACCAGGTTCCCCCGCAGTTGCATGAGGACCTCTTAATACATTTGTCTTCATGTCTCTCTAAGCTAACCAAGCTTGGGCACAAGGAGGCCCCTGTTAGCGCTCGAGGGTCAATCAGATTGGTGGATGCTGCTAGTACCTGAAACGGTGCCAGATGCCATACTTTGCTAGGTTCACTACTTGTGCCGGGCATTCTTCACCGCTGCTTTCAGGAAGAATCGGCTTTGGTCAAGTACCAATGCATTATTTAGGCCTCAAGACGCCCGTATTCTAAGCGAAAGACGTGACTTACGAGGCTTTCAGGGGCATACTTGACGCATCCTGCCTGCTGCTGAGGCCCGCCTAACGCTGTGTTTGATTGTGGCGCTTATTTTCCGCACTAGTAACTGATTATCGCATATTCATGGCGGTTATCACGGCCTTCACTATTCCTGTGAGAGGGCTATCTATAGAGTTCAATTTCCACGACACATAGCGCCAATACACAGTTGATGGATCTAGCCAGGGGTTTGGAATGATATGATCGACTCCTCCGAAAGTATGAATTTCAGGGCTGGTGTCGAAATCGCGGGTCAGGAATTACATCGTTTCAATATTCTTTGTTCCAGGAGGCCAGTATTCCTCAGAACAAACAACTCCCTGGGGTCGGTTCACACTCTCTGACCTCAGGGTATCTGCACAGGTCCACAGGAGCACCTGGTTTAGTGGGAACCAGTCAGTGGCGTCGTACAGTGAATATCAGAATGTGCAGAACACTGGTATATTCTCCATTATGCGGCAACCCAGGCCAACAACAGGCCAACAACAGAGTTATCTAGTACCTCAACAGTCACCCTAACATCCACAGTACTAGTGGCATTAAATTAAGCTTATCCCCTAGAATCCCATTTAACGGGAACATCATCCGTGACGGCCAGCCTAGAGCCGAAACCAGCAACAGCCAGATCTGACATTAACTGGGAACTAGACCGTAGTAGACCAGCCACTGTAACCATCGAAACAGGATGTCAGAGTCAAAGAAACATGTGCATTGCTATACGCCCAAATAGATTCTCTTGCCTACTAACATATACTATACTACTACCTACTTAACACCATATATAGTAAAACACAACCCACCAAATATATCAGCAGTATAGTATCCAAGATCCAACCACACCCCCTCAATTCAACACTGTCTCACCTATACAGTAGTAACCCTACAAATCATATCCGAGGCCTACCCATCATCCAATGACTAACACTACCCTCCCCGATCTCATAATGACATAAGTTGAACCAACCCGAACCGCTCCGCTCCGCTTCCCTAATTGTGCCGGCGGGGGGAAAGGGTGCACCTGACCTCATGATGACTTTATCCCTCAACCGAAACCACCCCCCCTCCACCCCGCCATCCGGCAGAGCAAAGCTACCTATATATAGCTGGAACACTTTCACCCCCAAGGTTCTCATTTCGTCTTATTCAACCATTCAGAAGACAAAGATATTGCACCATCCAAGACCAGACCAACCACCTCTACTTAATTTTTATACCTTACCTACCCGAACTTTAACAATCTTCAATATGGGCTGCGGTTGCGGATCCGGAAACACTTGCGGTTGCAGCGGACCGAGTTCCTGCACTTGTGGACAGTCGTGCTCTTGCAAGGAGTGTGGAGTATGTTTGTTTGACATTCCTAGGACCGCCTTTGTGGGTTGGTGATGTGATGTGCATGTGCTAATGGGGTTTTGTGTGTTTAGAAGTAAATCGATTTTCTCGATGTCTACGGACACACCCACTACTTTCGTTTTAACGGCTTCTCGAGTGAAGATGTGTGAGAATGGAGATGTGGGATGGGGATAATGTTGTTGTTGTGGTTGCTATCATGATATGGAATGAATTGAAATGATTGTATATGAAACTGAGTTGTTCCTTAGTTGAGGGTGGGTAGAACTTGTAGTATATTTTGTAGTGGCGGGTATGCTGTAGTGGTGATAAGAAGGGATAGTAAGTTGTTTCATATACCTTGCTGCGTAAGGGACACCACATCTGTAGTGATCTATGCCGTGTTTCGATGTAGTACTCTTTCAGTTTCAGTTCTCTGGGGTCAATAACGTCATAGTGGGGCGATGAAGGTACGATAACGGGTCGGGTCTATACATATACAACGCACACGGATATACCATGCTATTAATATCTTATCTTTGGAGAGAATACTCGCATCACCATACGAATCACATAATATCCCCCACTGAGCAAAGTCACAACAATAATCAATGCAGCCATCAGACCCACCCGAGCCAGTGCTTCAATGCCGCGTCGCGATGTTTTCGGAATCTTTTCTTTCTCCTTGACCGTCACTGCCTTATAGAGCGGCCCTGCATGAGATGGCTTGTATACAAAGTCAAAGAGCGACTCGCCTCCAAGCCCTTTCTCTCGGTCGGTTATCATGGTGTAATAGTATCGACGACGATACTGCCCCAAGTCAGTGCACACGCAATGATCACACCACGAGAGAACAGACATACCGCGATAAACCTCTGATCGAGCTTCGGAAACAACCGGGTACCATATGCTAACGCCATGACAAAGAAGCAGTACCCGTATATCAGAACCCGATAGTACAGTGCGGGCTGAGGGATTCGAAGGCTGTCAGAGAGTTGCTTCCCATTCAGTCGTCGAACCATAGCCTCCATGAATCCCATTGAAGCATGCGCTGGGGCTTTGTTCTCCAGGCCATGGAGTATATTACGAGCTAGGACTCTACCATTGTTTATAGGATCCACCTCCGATACAAGGAGAGATTCCATTAGCGCTCGTGCGGTTTGCTGGCTAGCAAAAGGTTCGTCTGGAACTCCTAAGTAATAGGCTACCAGCCTCCAGAGAGCTAGGTAGTCGTCAATCTCTTGCTTGCGGAGCCAGATACCTTGCCGGGGGAGGCCGAGCCAGATGATGATGGATGAGAAACTGCTAATCGTTGCAAGGCTGTCAAGGTCGTTTATAGGGACTCCGTACCTCTCATTGTCATACCTTTCCCGAACACAAATCAAGGAGCGAAGATAAGCATGCAGCAGCCGAACGCGGATGGATGAGATATTACCAACACCGCCTGGCTTCATTGCGTCAACTGATTCAGAGACCTGGAGGATAAACTGTAGGGTCTCCAGTAGTCTCTTCCGCACGACATATATATTGTTGAAGCCTCCACATAAGGTTAAGGCCGTAACGACACTTGGTGAGCCCCTAAGTAGGAATAAGTCGAAGCCTGATGGAACTTTCTGCAGAGTGACTAACATGCCGCCCAAGAGGCTTTCGAAGTTCAGCTGGTTTTTATCAGTGCTTATGCTTGGAGTTGTCACTAGATTAGATGCTAGACTTACCACGTTCAGGATGGGAAGCCCATAACGGAAGAACACCTCCTGTCCCCGTTTGATCTGCTGCCAATCAACCCAGTCCGGCACTGTGTTGACTTGTGCCCAGAATTCACTAAGTTTCGAATCATCTTTTGCGTGATCCTTCAGCATGATGTACACATCCAGATCGGGTAACTTCCTGTCTGGATCATTTTGCCTGTCTTGGTTAACTACCTGACGGCCGATTTCGTTGATCTGGTCGATACATTCATCCCCAAGCCTGTCATAAGTGTGCATCTTTGAACGCAACTGTTCCCTCGTCTGATGAAGGGGCGACCATGCGAACGTATGGTCCCAATAGGTGTAGATTTTTGATGAATCCATTATGTCGATTCGCACCTACGAGGCGTCGGAGAAGGGACAACAATTGGGGCAAGAAGGATGGATGACGGAACATGCGTGTCTTGGAATCGTTTAACTACATCTGGCGGAGTGCCATCACGTCACTTGGCTTTTACCTGTATCAGGGACGGATTTCTCGATCCTCCGATGAATTTAATCCCCCGGCGAATGGAAGGGTCCATAGAGGGCAGTTTCCATGGGATCAAAACGGAAACCTGTCAATGGCTTGTCAGGCAACAGACGACGTAAGAGGCTTCGAATGCGCGAGGAGTTTCATGTGGAATAGTCCACTGTTGGTGAAAGCGTATGGTTCTACGGAAAGTTCACTTCGCAGAGCGTAGAGAAGTCCTTGGGATGGGCAACTTGGGCGTTCGGTGTAGCGTCTTAGAGATGGGTATGAAGCTCCCATCGTCAGAAGCCTTTTTCGATGGAAAGCAGCCTCTTGTTAGCTAACGAACTCCTACAACCACTGAAGAGTTCCCAGAAGCAGTTACGATGGGCTTCCCACCCAACTTATCTTGTAGTAGAGAGGTGGACATAATGATGGCTGGTGGCTTAACATTTGATGTGGAGAGACCAAGAAGCAAGCGGCACCGTTTTGATAAGGCGGGCTGAGTAAACACGCAACACCGCAAGGACCACACGGCCAATCGCTCATCAGGGGCCACTAGTAGTTTATGCCTCCGAATTGTCAATCTTCTAGATATTGTATTGATATTATGATTTTTCCGAGCGAATGCTAGGATTAGGTGTGCGACGACTCAAAGCACGCCCCTCGCTGCTTGATTTGATTGCGCATCACGAAGGAGACGAACAGCCAGTCGGTTCGAGGTCGTCATCACCGCCTGGACTAGACAGCCCGCAACTGCCACCGCTCCCCGTGTCGCCCACTTCATCATCCTGCAGCGACAGCTCCTCCTCCTCTTCTTCTCCTCCTTCCCCCATCCATCCCTCCCCCTCCCCCGCGCTGTCCACTCCTGTCATTCACCTCCCTGCTTCACGCACCATGGCCCCCTCCGCTGATGCTGGCGAGAGCCAACATGGTTCCGTCTTCTCCGTCTCCGGTCCCGTCGTCGTGGCCGAGCATATGATCGGCTGTGCCATGTACGAACTGGTATGCTTCCCATGTGTTTTCCCGCCGCCAGATACTGCGCTTCTAGGTTTACGCATCTGCAACACTTAATCGCTAACACCAGGCATCGACTGTAGTGCCGTGTCGGTCATGACCAGCTGGTCGGAGAAGTCATTCGGATCGATGGCGATAAGGCCACCATTCAGGTCTACGAGGAGACAGGTACATCCGCCAACCCCTCCGGCCTCCCCCACAACATCCCTGTCTAACTGCCACTTTCTCTAGCTGGTTTGACGGTCGGCGACCCCGTTACACGGACAGGAAAGCCCCTTTCGGTCGAGCTGGGCCCCGGTTTGATGGAAACGATCTACGATGGTATTCAACGGCCCCTGAAGGCGATCTCCGACCAGTCCAAGGGTATCTACATCCCCCGTGGTATCGCGGTTAACGCCCTGGATCGTGAGAAGAAGTGGGACTTCAAGCCCGGCAAGTACAAGGTCGGCGATCACATCACTGGTGGTGACATCTGGGGTACCGTTTTCGAGAACAGCTTGGTGAACGACCACAAGATCATCCTCCCTCCCCGCGCGAGGGGTACCATCACCCGCATAGCCGAGGCGGGAAGCTACACTGTTGAGGAGAAGCTGCTGGAAATCGAGTTCAATGGAGTCAAGACGGAGCACAGCATGATGCACACCTGGCCTGTCCGTGTGCCCAGGCCGGTCAACGAGAAGCTCTCGTCGGACGCACCTTTCATCGTCGGTCAGAGAGTGCTGGACTCCCTGTTCCCCAGTGTTCAGGGTGGTACTGTCTGCATTCCTGGTGCCTTCGGATGTGGAAAGACTGTCATCTCCCAGAGTGTCTCCAAGTTCTCCAACAGTGATATCATTGTCTACGTCGGTTGTGGTGAGCGTGGTAACGAGATGGCTGAAGTGTTGATGGATTTCCCCGAAGTTAGTGTCCCGTCCTACAGTAGACATATAGTGACTAACAAGCGATCGCAACAATAGCTTTCTATTGACGTCGATGGCCGCAAAGAACCCATTATGAAGCGTACCTGCCTGATCGCCAACACCTCCAACATGCCTGTCGCCGCCCGTGAGGCGTCCATCTACACCGGTATTACGATCGCTGAATACTTCCGTGACCAGGGCAAGAACGTGGCTATGATGGCGGATTCCAGTTCCCGCTGGGCTGAGGCTCTTCGTGAAATTTCCGGTCGTCTGGGTGAAATGCCGGCTGACCAGGGTTTCCCCGCCTACCTGGGTGCCAAGCTGGCTTCCTTCTACGAGCGTGCCGGTAAGAGTAACGCCTTGGGTAGCCCCGAGAGAATTGGCAGTGTCAGTATTGTCGCTGCCGTCAGCCCTCCGGGTGGTGACTTCTCGGATCCCGTCACCAGTAGTACCCTGGGTATTGTCCAGGTGTTCTGGGGTCTGGACAAGAAGTTGGCTCAACGTAAACATTTCCCGTCGATCAACACGTCGATCTCTTACAGCAAGTACACGACGGTTCTGGACCGGTACTACGAAAAGCATCACCCCGAGTTCCCTCGCCTGCGTGACCAGGTCAGAGAGCTTCTGACCAAGTCGGAGGATCTGGACCAGGTCGTGCAGCTGGTTGGTAAGGCCGCTCTGGGTGACTCCGACAAGATCACCCTGGATGTGGCTGCCATGGTCAAGGATGACTTCCTGCAGCAGAACGGTTACAGTGACTACGATCAGTTCTGCCCGCTGTGGAAGACCGAGTACATGATGAAGGCGTTCATGGGCTACCACGATGAAGCCCAGAAGGCGGTTGCCCAGGGCCAGAACTGGTCTAAGGTTCGTGACGCCACCACCGACATTCAGAGCTCTCTCCGGGGCATGAAGTTCGAGGTGCCGACCAACGAGGCGGAAGTCTCCGAGAAGGTAAGCCAGATGCCATCGCTCTTGAGGTTTGTGTATTCTAACCCTGTTGCAGTACGAGAAGATCCTCCAGCAAATGTCGGAGCGGTTCGCTTCGGTGTCGGATGAGTAGAGGGAGGACATATTCACCGGGCTAGACCGGGGAGGCGTGCTGTCTATTTTATATTCCCGAGCTTGTAGCATAGCAAATTCCCAGTATATGTAGTTATTGCCGTTGCCTTGAAGAATTTCCGTTTCGAGAGACTTCCATTTATCGATCGTCAGAATCAAGTAATTACTTAGGAGAGTTGTGGTTGTGCGTGAGTCAGTCAGGCAGCATCATTCAGTCATTTGCTGAAAGTAGCCATTGTCTGGCCGCTTTTGGGTGGCCAAATCCACATGACGCGGCCTTACCCATTCGCTCTCATTGTAGGGATTCCCAATGTGTGGTCCATCGGGTACCTCCATCCACAGTCGGGAGCCCGTTTGTCGCACTTCCATTTGCCACTGTCAGGGTCCCGGTTCGGTGGGTAAACGTTTATCGTTTTGGCAGGCAGACAGAGGCAGTGTAAGGCCGCCCGTATCGCTGCTATCGATTGCTCTGATCTGGACCGAAGCGAAACTCTCCACTTGGCCCTTTCCGCCTTCGCTCGCCCTCTTCCCTTTCAATCCACCCCCCCCCAAACATCCTCCACGCATTCTGGTCTACACCCCCCTGAACAGACAATCGCTCTACGGACATTGTCTAGACTGTTACTTGCTTTCTTTCTTCTATATTCACTGCCTTTATTAATTTGGAGCGTCCATCCTCTATTCCTCGTTGCCAGCCATGGCAAGCCCAACTACTGGCTTCTCGTGCGCAACCCCCTGGTCCCTCCATGCTTGTACCTCTGATTCGCCTGGCTGACCTCATCGTGCCCGCAGGATAAACGTCAACGATCCCAGCTTGATCTCGCTGGTGAACAAGCTGCAGGATGTCTTTGCGACGGTTGGAGTAAGTCATCCACTCCCGTGGAGCTCTCCTGCATCGCAGCCCCTCCGCCGAACTGACACCGCCTGTTCCATTTAGGTTCAGAACCCCATCGATCTGCCTCAGATTGCCGTCGTTGGTTCGCAATCCAGTGGAAAGAGTTCCGTTTTAGAGAATATTGTTGGCCGGGATTTGTAAGTGGTTGACATGGTCCCTCCGTTTCTTGTCTGGTCGCAGCAGCCTAACCGGCGTTCTTGTCGTTGCCTAGCCTGCCTCGTGGTTCTGGAATTGTCACTCGGAGACCCCTCGTACTGCAGCTTATTAACAGGCCCGCTGGTTCGCAAACGAACGGTGTGAAGGAGGAGGCCCTGGAGACGACGGATAAGGAGGCCAACATAGACGAGTACGGCGAGTTTCTCCACATCCCCGGCCAGAAGTTCTACGATTTCAACAAGATCCGTGAGGAGATTGTGCGCGAAACTGAGTCCAAGGTCGGTCGCAATGCCGGTATCTCGCCCGCTCCTATCAACCTGCGAATCTACTCGCCTAATGTCTTGACCCTCACACTCGTCGACTTGCCCGGTTTGACCAAGGTCCCCGTGGGTGATCAGCCCAAGGATATCGAGCGTCAGATCCGTGACATGGTTTTGAAGTACATCAGCAAGCCGAACGCTATCATCCTGGCCGTCACTTCCGCTAACCAGGATTTGGCCAACTCGGATGGTCTGAAGCTGGCGCGGGAGGTCGACCCGGAGGGTCAACGCACGATCGGTGTGTTGACCAAGGTCGATTTGATGGACGAGGGTACCGATGTTGTGGATATTCTTGCAGGCAGGATTATCCCTCTGCGTCTGGGTTATGTTCCGGTCGTCAACCGTGGTCAGCGTGATATTGAGAACAAGCGGCCTATTGCATATGCCCTGGAGCACGAGAAGAACTTCTTCGAGGGTCACAAGGCTTATCGCAACAAGTCATCGTACTGCGGAACTCCCTATCTCGCCAGGAAATTGAACTTGGTACGTTTCTTTGACATTGTGGTCTGAGAACTTGAACTGAC